CGCTGGGCTGCGAAGCTGCCCGCAGCCTCTGCAGCACGGGATTGATCCCCGGCTGCTGGGCGAAGGTCCCACATGGCATGCAAACCTCTCCTGCAGTGCCTGCTGCTCCTCTCAGCAGTGTACCTAGGTCCTTCTGCTTGTTCTGCTCCCCGCTGTGGCTCTGGTGAATTCTCTCACCCTCCCACGCTTCTGACTGTACCCAGTGCTTGTATAAATAAATAAATATTTAATAAATAAATAAATAAAATCTTAAAAAAAATTAAAAACTCTTGTGTGTCAAGGACACCACCAAAAAAGTAAAAAGACAGCACAAAGAGGGAGAAAATACTGCAAATCATCTATCTGATAAGGGACATGTATGTAGAATACATAAAGAAAACTTTTTTTAATATATATTATTTTTTAATAACTTTTTTTAAGATTTATTTATTCATGCATATAAGAACCGGGGTATAGGCTGGGTGCGTGGGAGGGTGAGAGGATTCACCAGAGACAGAGTGGGAAACAGAACAGGCAGACTGACTGAAATACACTGCTGAGGGGAGCAGCGGGCATGACAGGAAAGGTCTGCTGCGCCATGTGGGATTCTGGCCAGCCGTCCGGGATCCAACTGGCACTGCAGAAGCAGCGAACAGCTTCACAGCGCTGCACTCAACCACCTGTGCCACCAGGGGAGGCCCAAGAAATCTTACAACTCAAAAATACAAAAACAACCCAATTTAAAAATGGGCAAAGAATCTGAATAAACCTTTTCTCCAAAAAAGATATACAAATGGTCAACAGGCATAGGAAAAGATGTCCAAAGGCATTAGCCATATGGAAATGCAAATCAAAACCACAATGACTTAGCACTTCACACCCACTAGGTGGCTATAAATAAAACAAAAAGTCAGTCTCTGCATGAGGCGCAAACAGTCACTAAACAAACACTCCAACTGACTAACAAACAAAAAAGAGAAAAGCAAGTAAGAGAAGGGATGTGGAGAAACAACCCTCATATACTGCTGCTGGACTGTAAAATGGTATAGCTATTTTGGAAAACAAACATCCTCAAAAGACGGAGCAGAGTTACCAAAAGGAATTCTACACCTAGGCATCTCTTAGTAGTATTTCAGTAGTATACTGAAATATACTACTATGGGGAGCAGCGGGCAAGACAGGAGAGGTCTGCTGCTCCGTGTGGCCGGGGATCGAACTCATGCTGCTGCGGAGGGAGGGCCATTGTGGTGGTAGCACTGAGACCACCAGGGAGGCCCAAGAGAAACAAAAGCCTATGTCCACCCATAAACTTGACCCAAATGTTTATAGTGTTGTTGTTCTTCATTGCTGAAAAAAACCAAAACCACCCAAATGGCTATCAACTGATGAATGAATAAACAAAATGTTGCATATCCATACAATAGAAAAATATTCATCCATAGAAAGGAATACAATTCTGGGCCTCCCCGTGGTGCAGCGGTTGAGCGCTGGCCTGCGAAGCTGCCCACAGCCTCTGCAGTGCCAGTTCGATCCTTGGCTATCCCTGGCCACCGGCGACGGTCCCACATGGTGGGCAGACATCTCCTGTCGCCCGCTGCTCCCCTCAGCAGTGCGTTTCAGTCAGTCTGCCTGTTCTGTTCCCCGCTCTGGCTCTGGTGGATTCTCTCACCCTCTCGCACTTCTGACTGTATCCCTGTTAGGGGGAAAAGGATGTCCCACACCCCAGCTCTTGTATAAATAATAAATAAATAAATCTTTAAGACAATGTTTCTTCTAGAGAAAAAAAAGAGGAATACAATCCTGACACATGCTACAACTCGAATGGACCTTGAAGACATTATACGAAGCGAAAGCAGCCAATCACAAAAGACTGCATGTTAGATGATGCCAGTCTTAGGGCTGTCCATGATATAGGATGTAAGGATGTAGGGAAGTCTATAGACAGAGAAAGGGAAGGCTGGGGTACAGGGAGGAATGGAAGGGCAGGGTGGGGGGTGATAGCTAAGAGGGTTTCTTTTTGAGATGATACAGGTATTCTAAATTTGATTGTTGATGGTCACATACATCTTTGATTACTGAAGACCAGACTGTGTGCAGTATGTCTGAATAAAGCTATTAAAATGGTTTTTTAGAGGGCCTCCCTGGTGGCGCAGCGGTTGAGCGCTGGGTTGCGAAGCTGCCCGCAGCCTCTGCAGCGCCGGTTCAATCCCCGGCTGCTCCCCGGCCACCAGAGGAGGGTCTCACATGGCGCGCAGACCTCTCCTGTCACCCGCTGCTCCCCTCAGCAGTGTACTTCGGTCCTTCTGCCTGCTCTGCTCCCCGCTCTGGCTCTGGTGAATTCTCTCACTCTCCTGCGCTTCTGACTGTACCCAGTGCTTGAATAAATAAATAAATAAATAAATAAATAAATAAATAAATAAAGATAAATCTTAAAAAAAAAAAAAAAATGGTTTTTTAGATAATCATGGTTTAATGTGTTTTCACTCACTTGGCAATGAATTAAAAATGATTCTACCTGGTGCTGAGCAGGGTGCTGTGAAATACGCCCACATGACTGATGCCTATAAAGTAGTAAAACAAATGAAGCAAAACTTCTCAGGAAATAATGTGGTGATGCATCAACAACCTAAAAAATACTCATCCCTCAAATTTCACTTTGAGCATCTGTCCTAAACAAATATTTTATGAAGAGCCTCCCCTGGTGGCGCAGACGGTTGAGCGCAGCGCTGTGAAGCTGTCCGTAGCCTCTGCAGCGCCGGTTCGATCCCTGCTGGCCGGCAAGAATCCCACATGGCGCCACAGACCTCTCCTGTCATGCCCGTTGCTCCCCTCAGCAGTGTATTTCAGTCAGTCTGCCTGTTCTGTTCCCCGCTTTGTCTCTGGTGAATCCTCTTACTCTCCTGCGCATCTGGCCTGTATCCTGGTTCTTACATGCATGAATAAATAAATCTTTAAAAAAAAAGAAATATTTTATAGAAAATACATACTATAAAAAGGGTTTTCGTTTTTTTTTTTTTTTACTAAAACAGTATCAGCAGTCACATGGAAACAAGCTAAATGGCTAACATTAATAGAATGACTACATCAGTTGTAGAACTCCATTGTGATGGAATATTATGCACCCATAAAAACGAAATCTAACTTTCTATCCACAGCAAAACAATTACAGGCTTGAAAAACATATTCATGTTTGTTGAACTGAAAAAAAAGTTTATAATGAAGGCTTATAAGAAAGACATATTTTAAAAAGGGGGGGACATAATTCTCAAAGTGTCCTGAGAACAGCAGCATTACCTGGGTAGATAATAGAAATGTCTATTTTTGGTCCCCACCCCACCCACACTTGCTCAGTCAGGGTGCCTGAGGTGTACCCAGCAATTTAACAGGCCCTCTTGGCACAGTGTAAAATGTAAAGGCAGCATTTAAAGCAGAGCATGATCAAAGCTAACACTGATTGCTAGTCTCTCTGATGTCATGTACTTTCTATAGCCACCTTAGGATTTGTTGGTTTTCTGTGTTATCCCCATTTCACAGATCAGGAATCTAAGGTGCAAGAGAAATAAAGAAACTTGCCCAAGATCAAGAGTAGTGACTGGCAGAGCTGGGACCTAAAAGCCTCCAAAGCCCATATTGTTAACCAGGGTCAGTCTATCCCAGGGCCTGGGCCACAAACATCACTGGTAGTGACTGGTAGTTACTGCCAAGCATCTACCTTGTTTTCCTAATCATTCTGTATGAGGGTCTCAGGGGACTTGTGTGTTTCTTTGGAACTCCCAAGTTATGTACTTCAAGTATAGGAGAAAAAAGAATATAACTGGCATTTCAAACTCATGATTTCAATAGTACCATAAAGTTACTGTTTAAATAGGAACTTATAGTTAGTTTAAATAGGAACTTACAGTTAATGAAAAAATTAATAAAAGGAATGTCATAAAAACTAGTATGAGAAAAATTGCTAAGCCAACCTGTTACTTAAATATATGATTTGTGCGTTTTACTGTATTTAAATTGGACCTTTAAAAAGGACTATAAAGGCCTCCCTGGTGGCACAGGCGGTTAAGCGCAGCGCTATGAAGCTGTCTGCAGCCTCTGCAGTGCTGGTTCAATCCCCGCCGGCCTCAGAGCAACCCATTTGCGAACAGACCTCTCCTGTCTCGCCCGCTGCTCCCCTCAGCAGGGTATTTCGTCAGTCTGCCTGTTCTGTTGCCTGCTCTGTCTCTGGTGAATCCTCTCACCCTCCCGCACATCTGGACTGTACCCTGGCTCTTGTATAAATAAAATCAATCTTTTTTTAATATCATTTTTAAAAAAGATTTATTTATTTATTTATACAAGCACTGGGTACAGTCAGAAGCGCGGGAGTGCGAGAGAGTTCACCAGAGCCAGAGTGGGGAACAGAACAGGCAGACTGACAAAGTACACTGCTGAGGGGAGCAGTGGGCGGGGCAGGAGAGGTCTGTCACGCCATGTGGGACCCTCGCCGGCGGCTGGGGATCGAACCAGCGCTGCAGAAGCTGCGGACAGCGTTGCAGCCCAGCGCTCAAACACTGCGCCACCAGGGGAGGCCCTAAAATAAATCTTAAAAAAAAAAAAAAAAAGGACTATAAATACTGGATTCTAGTTAATAATGTACATGCTTAAGTGTTCTTAAGAGCATTATTTAAGTGAACCTCCTCCTTTGAAACATGACAAAAATGAGGTGGACCGATGATAAATTTGGATGGGGGCTTGGAAATGTGATAAAGCGAAGACAGCAAATACTCATTACAGAACTCAGTGTGTGCCCATGGGCATTTTGTACAAATTTTTCCAACTTCTCTGTTTGAAAACTTACATGCTGGGGATGGGGGAGGGAGGAGAGCAGGGGAAGGGAAGGCTATAGACTGTCCCATATAGCGAGTGAGTGAATAGCTAATAAATATAGACTCAGACTGGGCAGAATCATCTGAAATGCTTTACATTCTCCTGTATACATTTCAAAGTAGGTACATATTACTTTGATAATAGAAAAAGTTTTTTCAGAGAGAAAAGTGACACAAGAGATGATTGATAAAATAGGCATTTATTCTGAGGGTATAATGCCAAGAAAGACCTCCTCCCACCCTGCACGCCGAGGCCAGCGGGAGTGGGCGACAACAGCCGCCCTTGGCTCACAGCAGCAGGCCAGGGAGGTCCGGGCTCAGCTGGAGCTGTGTGTCTGTGTATGACTTGCCTGCCCATCTACCCAGGTCAGTGTGTCCTGTGCCCCAAGGATCTGGAGTGTCAGGTGAGGTGGCAGAGGAAGTTGTGCAGAGGCAGGGCCAGGATCCCTGATAGGGAGATTCCCAAGGTGTCAGAGATACAGGCAGCTGCCATGGCGAATTCCCGGTGCTTGTAACTAGTCTGGAGAGAGCAGAGAGCTGCGGTGAGGCTTTAGTACTAGAAGCCCCCACCCTGGGCTCTCCCAGAAAGGCCTCCCTCAGCCCTCACCCAGCAGGTGCTGACCTCTAGGGAAATGTTGTGGAAGGTGTTCACGTAGGCTGCACCCCCTAGGAGCCCCTCAAACAGAATGATCAGGAAGATGAGGTAGATGCTTGGCAGGAAGCTCAACCATACATCCGCCAACAGGAAGGCCAGGTTGAGGCACTGTGGTGCAAGTGAAGGGGAGGACTGATTGTGGGACCAGAGTTGGCAGGAAGGGAGGCTGCCGTCCCTTCCAGTGGCCCCTGGTTCAGGGAAATGCTTATGTGGAAGAGGGCTGCCAGGCCTGGGTCAAATCCCCACACCCAGTAGGCCTTCCGGACCCTGGGATCTGGGGCAGGTCTTCTCCCTCCCCCACCCCCAGTGCCCAGACCTTATAGGTCTCTTTCCCCTCCCTGATTTTGCTCTTATCACTCCTCCCTCCAGGGTGTCATGCTTTCCTTCACTTGGAATCTTCTAGTGACCACGATTCCCAGCTCAGCTAAGATCAGGGTCATTCACTCCTGTGACCTCACTCTTCCAAAGGGCTCTGTGAATAGAGCATTTGCCCCCCTTTTTGCCAAACAAAGGCTATATTTAGACTCAAGGTTTTCAATGTGGGGTGATGCCCAGGGGACCTTTGGCACCAGGTAGAGATGTGCCTGGTGGTCACAACTGGGAGGGGGTGCTGCTGGGTTCTAGTGGGTAGAGGCCAGGATGCTGCTCAACACCCAGGCTGCACAGAACGGCCCTGCATTAACATGTCCTGGCTGAGAAACTCTGGTTTAGATGTTCCCACCCCTTTCCGTATGTCTCCCGTGCCCCACCCAAGGGTGCAGGTCCTTGCTCTGGAGGGGTTGCCTCCTCAGTGTTAGGCCCCCTCAGGGCTCACAGGCTTGATGGATTAAAAATGTGCTTTATCCATACAGGTCTGGTCCTCAGAGGTCATCATGCCTGAGTATGCTCTGGTTTCTCCATTTCAAAGAACTCTTAAGAAATACTTATGTGACTAATGAAACACTGCAGACACTTTCACTTGCAGCATCACCCTGGGCACTTTCTGTTATGCAATGAAATGATTATAAGCCCCTAATTCTCTAAAGCAGCCTTGGTGAAAATTATAGCTAAGATCCCAAGTTGTGCATTTCAGTGACGATAATAAAGAACCAGGAGCTAAGGTTCATACAACAATTTGGCACTGGGGGCACAAGTCCTGGACTGGCAGTAAAGAAAGAAGTTAGAGCATACTGATGTGCTGTCATAAGATCCAAGAGTAATTACACTTATTCTATGTTCTGCTATCATAGAATTAAGTTTCTTAAAAGGAGAAAAGACTTTTCTGGAAGAGGTGAAGGTTCAGCTTAAGGTCCCTTCAGGTGTTATACACTTGTGACCTTGGAACAATGATTGCTGGTGACGGGGCCCGCCTTTTGTTAGGCTGCTGTAAGGCAAGGTGTTTGTTCCCTCAAAGCTGGAGATGACTTCCGCTCGCCAGCCTGAAGATGAATGACCTATTAACTATAATGTCACGAGTTCTATTATGATTGACCAGCCAGAAGAAAAGAACTGTACCTTTCCTTACTGCCAGAGACATTAACAGTCTCTGCATGAGGCTTGTGCAAATAAATTACTGAATAAGATTAAAACACAATACAAAATCTTGTTCTTTCATTCTTCTCATGTCTATTTCTTACAACTACTCTGCGAAGTAGATGCTGGCAGTGCCCAATTTATAGAGAAACTGAGATTCACACTGGTTGAGAGGTGAGTACTGAGTCACACAGCCACTATGTACAGAAGCTGGGATTTGCACTCAGGTCTACCTGGTTCCTGAGGACACACGTTACACAGAGCCCTGGGGGCTTTCTGTTTCCTATGCTTATTAGCACATGACAGGGAGTGATAAACACTTCTTGCTGGGAGTGGGGGGAGCCTGCAAGCCCCCAGGAAGAGGGGAGCCAAAGTGGGAGAAGGGTGATGGCCAGGATCTCAGTACCTGCAGCAGGGCCAGCACCCATGTGTGGCGGATGTGACAGCAGCGGAGAGAAGAGCGGGAGGCGAAGACACCGGCCTGGTACAGCATCTGGTACCTTAGATAGGAAAGGGCTGGGAGGAGGTAGCTCTTCCAGGTGTCCACTTGGCAGGGCAGTCCCTCCACCCTGAGCGCCTTTGTCAGGGGGCCCCCCAGCTCACCGCCTCCCACCCTCACTGTTCTCACCAGCGGTACTGCTGAGCATGATTCAGGGATGTGTTCCGGAAGAAGAGGAGCTCAAACTACAGCAAAGATCAGACAGGAGAGATGGACGGGACATGGGGTCTCCACCTCGAACACTGCCTCCACTCCCCTCCCAGCAGCCGTCACTTACAAGTCCCTGATTGATGAAATACTCAGCAAAGTACACCAGGACCAAGGGGATAATATACCGCAGCAGGCCCTGGAGGAGTCAGGACGTAAGTGGAAGGCCGGGAGATGGCACTGGCCCTGGGGACACATCACAGCTACCGTCCATACCTTGAACACAGTCCACTTCTCCCGAGGGGAGAAGTCTGAGCTGGGGCCTACAGGGAGAGGGAGAGAGGGAGGAGGTGAGGGTGGCACACCTGTGCCAGAATCAACCCGCTGACACAATAGGGTGAACGCACTGAAAGCCACCAAGTGTACAGATTACAAATGGCTAAATTGTTATGACAAATTGGTAAACTTCAGGTTATATATATTTTATCAGGATTAAAACAGTGTGAACCAGCTGAGACCTCTTCATGGCTCCATATCCCCACCCCACGCACTGTCCTTTCTGTTTCTTGAATATTAAGCTCATTTCCACCACTGAGCCTTAGCACTTGCTGTTCCCTCTGCCTAAACCCAGCCACCCCCATGTCCACAGGGCTGACTCCTTGTCATTCAAATTTTAGCCCAATGATACCTCCTCAAAAGCAGTAACACACCCGCCACCTTCGCTACAGGAGAACCCCCCCCATTTCTCCCCTGTTGTCATTTTCTGACACATCACTGTTTTATAATCCAGCTGTTTTCAATATGTGAAACTGACATGCTTCCAATTCAGTTATTTGTTTCGGAATCTGCTTCATTTCCTTATCTGAGACCCAGGCACTGGCATGCCTGGCACCTAGTAAGCATACCAATAGATGGATGTGGCTGGCTCTCAGCATGCCAGCACACCCATCCACGTCCCCTCCTGGCTGTGCCCACTGTAGGGAGGAAAAGACCAAAACCCAGAGAGAGAAAGTGGCCTCCCTGAGGGTCTGGAGCTCCTGTCTCCTACCTGGCTTTGACTTTGGGGCCTCGTCATTCATCAGGGGCTGCCGAGCGGCTGTCTCTGCCTCATCTTCCCCTCCAGGGTCCTGGGGCTCGGGAGATATGAGCAACAAGAAATAGCTAGAAGCAGGCAGAATGGGGACAAAGCAGAAGAGTCTGTCAGCTTGGAAAGAAGTTTCCCTCCCAGGGTGTCCCCCGATTTCTATTTCTCTAGGCACCCCCATTCATGTCAGAGAACTCCAACTATGGAAAAAAGCTTTCTTCTCTAGATCTGAAATCTGCCTCTTTTCTCTGACCCTTGGGCTCTGGTTTCATGCTGGCTCACACCAAGCCAGTCAGCTCTGTTTTCTCATCACTACAGTTCTAATGATTGCTTAGCTGCCCTGTACTATCTGTTAGGCCAGAAACCCCCAAATTCCAGTTGCTTATGTCTTCCCTGTATGGTATTTGCCATATCCACATTCCTCCCATACATAATAGATTTTCCTTAATATTTTTCCTTTAAATTGTTTCCTTTCTTTCTACAGGAGCTTGTTTTAAGCAATGATCTGTGAAATCACAAGTTTGATGGGCTAGTGAAGATACTTTCTTAGTACATGTGAAAGGACACACAAAAGTTAGCAAAATAAAGTCCATCCTGCAACCATGGTGGGAACGCTATACTGGATGCTTCAAGATCTACCATCATTTGAAACAAGGGAAACTGCGGGTCAGGAAGGTGAAGCAGCCTGTCCCAGGCCGCACCTAATCAGGGGTAGCTCTGGAACTCACGCCCAGCTGATCAGAGTTTGGAAAACATCCACTCCCTCATAACAAGGCTGTAGGGCTCTGCAGAGGGGGATCAAGATTCAGTCTTCCAGGCCTCCCTGGTGGCGCAAGGAGTTAAACACAGCACTATGAAGCAATCTGCAGCCTTATCCCCGGCCGGCCAGGAAGCAACCCATATGGCACAGGAGACCTCTCCTGCCTCGCCTGCTGCACCTCTCAGCAATGTATTTCAGTCAATCTGCCTGTTTTGTTCTCCACTCTGTCTCTGGTGATTCCTCTCACCCACCTGCATCTCAAGCCTGTACCCCAGATCTTGTATGCATAAATAAATAAATCTTAAAAAAATAAAGATTCAGTCTTCCCTCCTCAGTTCCCTCCTTCCTCCAAGCCCATGGTGGCTTACCTGACCAGAAGCAGGGCAGGGATACCCAGCATGGACAACAGGGTGTGCTGGGGAGAGAGGCCGACCTGGGTGAGGCCCAGGTAGGACAATGCCCCCAGCAGCCCTGCGCCCCCAGTACCCGAGGACCACCAGGAGATCACAGCCCTGAGGAGGAGAACATAGGAGTACGAAGAAGGCCCAGAGTGTGGTAGATACACACAATGGAATACTACTCAGCTATAAAAAAGATGAAATCCTGTCACTTGAATAACATAAATGGGTGTTAAGCTTAATGAAATAAGTTAGATGGCAAAAGACAAACACAGTGTGATTTCACTCATGTGGTATATAGAGAAAACAAATCAACTAAATAAAGCAAAAATAAATTTTTAGACCCCAAGACCAATCTAGTGGTTACCAGAAGAGAAAAGGAAGGGGAAATTGGGTAAAGGGGCACAAATGTCACGGTGAAGGACAGACTTGGACTTTTACTGGTGAACTTAATGCAGTATAGTCACTGACTTGAAATGATGTACCCCTGGAACTTATATCATATTACAATGCAATGTTACTTAAAAAAAGAAATGCCTGAAGCTAGCAGTGGGGTGTCACCCCCCCCCCTGTCCCTGCACTGCCTACTTACCTGGGGTAGAAGGCGGTGAGTGACAGGAAGGTGACTTCTCCCAGGCCCGACGAGATGCTAGCTAGGACCACACCTGGGAGGTGACAAGCATGGCAGCCCTTCCCCAAAAGTCCCATTCCCTGAGGTATCTGGCCGAGGTCTGCGCTGCATCAGAGGGACTAAAAACAGACCCTCTAGGCAGGCTGGGCTCCAGATCTCAAGCAGAACCATCCCCTTCGCCACATGTCCTCCCACAGGCGACGGTGTCTCCATCTACCCCAGACGGAGGTGCATGAACTCATCCTCAACATCCCCTCTGCTCCCATCACGGAGTCTTGGTGAGTTCATTTCAGTCTCCATCTAATCCATCCATCTCCTCCCACCTCCCGCTGCAAATCAACCTCATCTCCCATCTCTCCTACCATGACAGACTAAGCAGACTTCTGAAGGTTACAGAAAGAATCCCTTTCCTTTGGGGAGCAGGGAGACTATCTCCACAAATGCTCTGTTGTGGCTTCTCTTGGCCTCCCCCTCAACACAAAGCCTCACACTTACCGCATAGACTGATGGTCACAGAATGGGACCAGGCAACCAGGACGAAGCTGCCGGCTGCAGAAATCCCACTAACAAGAACCCGGGGGCTAAGAGGGAAAGAGGGGAGGGAAAGTCAGCTTCTACTCTCAGCTTCCCAGCCCTCCTGGCCTCCCCACTCTCAGATCCCACCTGCCCTTCCTCCCATCACCCCTCCCAGACCTGTAGGGCAGCAGATGAAGACCAAGAGGAGCCAGCAGTTTGATGATAAGCGTAGGGAGGATGTCGGCCAGGAGCACTGCCTGGAAAAGGGCAACAGAGTGAGACTCCAGGCTTCCCAGGGACCACCAAGGGGCTGAGGAAAGTCAGGAATCAACGAGCCCGGCCACCAACACCAGCTCTGAAGCCAAACAGAACTGGATCTGGTTCTGCCATCACTCAGCTGTATGTCAAGGCTTTCACATTCTCTGAAAGCCTTTAGTTTCCTCATCTGGGAAAATGGGAGACAATGACAATGCCAAGTTCACAGCACTGTTGTGTAGACTAAATGAACTAATGGCCGCTGCACACAGAAAGGGCTCAGTGAATGGAAGTCTGAATTATAATGACAGCTAGTGCTGAGGGATAGAATGGGATCTAGACCCACAGGGCCTGGGTCAGGGCAGGACCAGAGGGTACTCACAGCTGTGGAGACAGAGTTGCAGTCAAATCGAGACGAGCTATTGTGGGGTGTGGGTGTTGGGTTCACCTGATGGGAGAGAAGAGTCTTTCACCCAGGAAGGCAGAAGGGTAGACATCCAGGGGCTGGCTGCAGCCCAGTTCTGCTCTAACTTGAAGGATGGCCTTGGGCTAGGCCTGGCCTCTTGGGATCTCAGTTTTGCTACATGCATGTGAGGTAGGGGCAGGTTTTACCAGCAGTCTCAAACTAATGGTCCAGGCTAAAGAGGGCTCTAAAAGTCAACTCTATTTGAGTAATACATTCTAGAAAACTCCTATTACAATTTTGGGTTTCCAGAAAGTCTGGTCTTGGACCAAATTAAGGTGGCAGTTGCTCTACCTGGGATGGAGCATGTGCCCCCTTCATCTCATCATAAGCAAGTAGTTCTCAACCAGGGGTGATTACACTCCACAGGTAACATCTGGCATTGTCTGGAGAAATTCTTAGTTGTAACAACTGGAGTGTGGAGGATTTGCTATCGGCATTGAGTGGGTAGAAGCCAGGGATGCTACACATTTTATAATGCACAGGACAGCCCCACCAGAAAGTATTATTCAGCCCAAATGTCAATAGTTCGGGGTAAGAATACTGCCATAGACCAAGGTCCTACTAATCAACATTGAGTTTACAAACTGGCACCAACTGATTCTTAAAAGTTTGGGAAACTGGGGCCTCCCGGGTGGCGCAGCGGTTGAGCGCTGGGTTGTGAAGCTGCCTGCAGCCTCTGCAGCGCCGGTTCAATCCCTGGCTGCTCCCCGGCCACCAGAGGAGGGTCCCACGTGGCGCGCAGACCTCTCCTGCCGCCCGCTGCTCCCCTCAGCAGTGTACTTCGGTCCTTCTGCCTGCTCTGCTCCCTGCTCTGGCTCTGGTGAATTCTCTCACCCTCCCGCGCTTCTGACTATACCCAATGCTTGTATAAAATAAATAAATAAATCTTAAAAAAAAAAAAAAAAAACATTTAAAAAAAAAAAAAGTTTGGGAAACTGGCACCTTTAGGCTTCTTGCCCCACCCCTTGGCCACCCCATTCAGAGAGTTTTACAAGGGGTCACTGCTGCAGGTGAGTCCCTCAGCATCCCACAGCCTAAACGTGGCAGTAGAGAAGGTTACTTACGTGGCTCTGGTTCCCAGGTGACCTGTGGTGGCTAAGGATGTCATGGGCAGCGCTGAGCATCACCACATAAGAGAAGTTGTTGCAAAGGCCCAGGACCCTGGAGTGAGGACAGATTTCCCCCAACCCCCAGTTCAACAAGTTATAACTGACACATAAGGCCAGATCTAACCTCATTTCAGGCCTCTAATTTTTCTGCAGTCCTAGCATCAAACCTTGCCCTTACCTGGGCTCTTCAATCAGCTCCTTTTTTTCTCAATCACCATATCCCATCAATGCTAGGTTTGTTTTTAATGTTAGGGAATTTGAGCTTTGAGGTCACAGACTTGGGTTCACATCTAATCTCCAAGACCTCTCCCGAGAGAAGGAAGTCATCCTTGGTGACTCTCCTCCAAGCTCCCACCACCTTTTCTATCCACAGATCCACAGTCTCTGGTTTACTATACAGCAGAAAGATCCCGGGGCTTGAAACCCAGAGGACTACACTCAGATCCCAAGCCTGCTGCATTCTACCGGAGTGACCTCAGTTGATTTAAGTGTAAAATGGGGATACACATTTCTCTCCTAACTACTTTAGAGAGTGCCAGAGGGACTAACACATGATGATCCACAAAGAATCTTGTTCGCTTACTCTCATTTCCCAGAATTTTGTCAGTGACATGAAGGAACTGGGTGTAGTACTAGAGATTTCATGTGTCCTTCTCTCAAGCCTATGAGTAGTTCCCATTTCACTGCTGAAGAAACTGAGGCTCATAAAGGTTACATGATTCTTCCAGAGTCACATGAGAAAACACTTCTAAAACAATCTGCCACACAAGTCCTCAATGTTTAGGCTAGAAATATTCCCCAAAGGCTCAATATTTGATTGACTTTAGAGGTAGACAGACGACCTTTTAAAAAGTAGTAATGCCGTTATTTAAGTGTGCATGAGGAAAATATTGGCTTTCCAGCTAGCGATTTAATTTTTCTTTTAAAAATATGTGAAATTACAATCTTAATGGTTGGATTGGTTGGAGTGAAATCATTAAGTAAATAATCCTGTAGAAGGTATTCGGATTTGGCTCAAGCCTGAAAGTGGTAAATAAGTAAGTCAGGTTTGAGAAATTATCGCATGGCTTTGGATAAAGATCAATTGGTTCAGCAAATATTGATGGAATCATCTTTTTCTGGAGCCCAACTTTTCTTCCCCCTTTCCTTCTATGCCCCCTCTTTCCGCCCCATTTTTCGTTCTACTTAACTTCTCAGGCCACTCACCAGAAACCCACCGCGTTCCTCCAATGGGTGCCCTGCCGGTCCAGCAGAGGGGGCGGAGGTTGCGAGGCAGTCTCCTCTTCTGGGGCGGGGAGAAGAGGAGGGCATGACCCCCGCTCTGCTCTCAGGTGCACGACCCCCTCGGGTGTTCTCCCGGGACCGACTCAGCTCCCGAGCCTGTCTCGGGACCGCAGGCCGCAATACTCACCCTCTGAATCAGAAAGGCGCCGCCACGCTCCCCTACGACCTTCCATGATCCCAACTTCGGGTCTCCCGCAGGGTCCAAAGCCAGCGCGCGCTCAGATCGGTCCCGACGGGGTGGATGAGGGTCTGCGACTGGTGAGAATGATCAACGTCCCCATGGCCCGTCCCAGCTCCGGCTTCTCTGCTGCACACGCGCCGGGGGATCCGCCCCGCTAACCCTGGGCTCCAGCTCGTGCCCTCGCACGCCCCACCACGCCCCACCCGTCGGACTCTGCCTCCGCCCCCTCTAAAGCGGGGGACCCTGCAGCCTGTACCTTTAAGAGCAGCTGAGCGTTCCGTTCGCGGGGACGCCAGGTTGACGGGTCACGTGACAGAAATGGCGCGCCCCCCATCACGTGCTTGGCGGTCCTCATTACTTCCGGGTCCTTTATGTCTTCACTTTAAGGTTTCCCGGCTTCGAGGCGTGGGACAGGGAGAGGCCGGGAGAACCCTGGAATCGCTGGTTTAATTCCGGAGCGAGTGAGGTCAGCAAGAAGCGCCATGACGTTAGATGTGCCGCGCCAAGTTGCTGAGGGTATCCTGCCAGCGCTAGTCAAAGCTATACGACATCAGCCATTTTTGTGGCCGTCACTTGCCAGAAACAAAGATGGCTACTCGGGCTTCTCGTTACAGACCGGACGGTACCTGTCTGGGAACAAAGACGGCTTCAGGTCGTTCTTATTCCTGTCCGTTGCCCGTAGATTTCCTTAGAAACCTAAAATAATGATAATGCTCATATAAGAGGATTTAGTGAATCGTCTGTTGGCAGCATCCAAGGCATTAATAGATCTCTTTCCCCCAGCTATCCTAGAACCAAAGAATTGCACCTATATATATATATTTTTTTTTTTGCACCAATATATTAAACTAAAAAGTAGTCCAATGCTCGGTTTTACAGATGACAAAACTGAGCTACAAAAAAAAAAAAAAATTTACCCATGATCCTACAACGTTAGACCTACAGGTGACCTTAGAGAGCCTTGTAACAATAAAAATTAGAGCTCCCAAAGCAGGGATGCCAACTGGGCAGGCTGCTGCAGGACCCTGTCTGCATCAAGGGTACTTAGATTTGAAAATTCTAAGATCCAAAGGTTCTGATTCTGTGATCTCAGCTAGTTCCTCTAATTGGAAATTAGGGAAGTGGGGACCGGGGGAAGAAATGTGGATAAAGGTAATATCAAATAGTTCCAAAAAAGGAGTGATTCTCTTACCTTCCTCTAAGTGGTAAAGCAGCATCCTGATTTTTCTTCCGTCCTTCCTCTGCTAGTTTCTTCTATAAGTTTCTAATAGCCAGTACCCACCTCTGCCAACAGGCCTTCAGACTGTTTGAAATATTCCCCTTTTGCTTCTTAGATCACTTGGCCAATGAAAAATGGGGTCCAACCACCCATGTAGGGTCCTAGAAATTCAGCAATGCATCATACATGGCCTCTGCCTTCAAGGAACTCACCGGAAGGTGGGAGGTAGATATGAAAAAAACCACAATACAAAACTTAGCCAAGTTTTGTTTTGCAAGAATGACCACAGATGAGGGGATGGGCATTGGAGGCACCAATCCAGTCTCTTCTTCCCCTTGGGGAAACATTAATGACCCAGAAATAAGAAGCTAGAGCTCTCACCAGCCCCCTCTTCACTCCTGCCCCTTGTCCCCAGGCAAAACAGGAACCACAAACCCCAGCTTCCTCTCATAGAGTGGCTGTGGCTTAGGGGGAGACGGAAATGGCTGAGGTGTGAATAGAAGACCTGAGTCACTTGAGCACAGTTGCCACATGCCCCTTCCCCCACCCCCCCATTCTGAGGTCTCCTGCTCCCACCTTTTTCTGTTTGGTCCCATCCCTTGCCCTTTAGCTCTGATGCACACCTGAGTCCTCTCTGTGACACCCACATATTTCCTGGACTGGGCTGGAAGCTGCTGTGGGCATTGCAAAGGGTGGGCAGGGCTTGGGGTGGGTATGCGTCAGGGAGAGAGGGGAAGAGGAAGTGTCTTGGGTCTTGGGGAAGATTGGCTTGCTTGGTGAGTGGGGACGGTCATTGTCAGCTTTCTGGACACACAGAGACAGACAGGATGGATTTCCTCCGGCTACATCTCCCTGGGCTGCATCAGGCCTTGAGGGGAGCACTGGTGAGAAAGGCAAAGAGATGCCGGAGACTTTCACTCTGCTCCCTGGGGCCTCACCTTCCCTCCTCCTTGGGAGCCTCTTCTTAGACTTGAAATTCCTTCCCCAAGTTCATGCAGCCTTCTATCCCAATCTTTTCTGGATTTCAATCTTCCACCTCCACGAACACATCCATATACCCCTAACTTAGGCCCTTTCCTTTCTTTCCACAGATCCTATTCTCCCTCTCTTCCCAGATTCCAGAACCCCTCTTATCCCGAGCTTCTCCATAGAGAGAGCTAGATCTCCCCTTAATGCCTTTGTCCCCTTCCTCTTTTCTTCTAGGATTCCTTGAATACCTTTGTCTCCTACCTTATGGGAGATGAGGTCCCTACTGTAGAGAGGAGGGAGGCGCAAGCAGCTGCAGAACTGGGGGAGGTGGCTGCAGGAAGGCCAGAGAAGCCTGTTGAGGAGGAAGCCGATGAGGCCCTGGAGGGCCTTGGAGGCCACCAAAACAAGGGGGACAGAAGGCTGAGAGGGCCCGAAGAGGCTGGAAGATGCCAGGAAGAAAGCTCAGCTTCAGAACAGACCTGGGGGTGGGAAGAAGGCAGCTCCCATGGGTCCCAAGCAGATGGGCAGGATACTGGGACCTGGGAGGCAGCCAAGACCTCCAGGTATCAGAAGCCAAGTGTCCCCTTGGAGATCGGCAAGGAGTCTGAGGCAGGGTCTGGAGTTGATCGATATAGGAGCAACCAAATCCAGGAGAGTAAAGAGCCCGATGAACAGGAAGTGAACAGAGGAGAGACACCGAGAACCAGGGAACAGGAAGAGGAGGAGGAGGAGGCCAGTGAAAGAGAGCCAGGGGTGACTGGGGGGGCGGAGTCAGAGTGGACCTGGCACAGGGAACCTGAGCAGAAAGCCAGTGCTGATGGGCAAAAGGTAGCCAGTGACATCAGGGAGACAGAGCAGGCCATCAGGGAGACAGTTGCAGAGGACATCTCGGGGCAGGGGGTCAAAGCGGCTGGGAGGGAAGAAGAGGTGGTGGTTATAGTGAGAGGTGGTCAAAGCACAAAGGCACAGGGGACATGGGAGCCAGGAGAAGAATCTGAGAACTGGGAAACCTTGGGCAGACAGAAGGCCAGTACAACCTCAGGCAGGGAAGAGGCATGGATAACATCAGGCAGAGAGGGGGCCGGGACAACCTCAGGCAGGGAGGAGGTCAGGCCAACCTCAGCCAGGGAGGAAGCATGGATAACACCAGGCAGGGAGGAGGATGGGACAACTTCTGGCAGGGAGGAGTCATGGATAACATCAGGCCGGGATGAGGCCGGGACCACCTCAGGCAGGGAGGAGGTCAGGCCAACCTCAGGCAGGGAGGAGTCATGGATAACATCAGGCCGGGATGAGGCCGGGACCACCTCAGGCAGGGAGGAGGTCAGGCCAACCTCAGGCAGGGAGGAGTCATGGACAACATTAAGCAGGGATGAGGCTGGGACCACCTCAGACAGGAAAGAGGCTGACTTCCTACGAGCCAGGGAGACAGAATGTGGGGCAGTCTCAGGAGAAAGGACCCCAGAGGGTACTGAGAGAGGCTGGGTCCTAAAGGAGGACTCCAGGGGAGACCAGGAGGATGTGGTGGATGAGAATAGCGAGGCTGAAGTGAGCCTGTTCCCCAAACAGACCCAGGTGCTGGGAACTGAGGGAGTGGAAGAAGAAGCTAAGGACCAGATAGGGAGGGAGCTGGCAGAAGGTCAGAGGTCAGAGGGGGAAGTCGGGGAGGGAATGGAGGACCAGGCAGATCAAGGTGGGGAAGAAGCCAGGGGGAGGCACAATGCAGAAATCATGACTACTCCAGTCAGGCTGGAAGAGGTGGTACAGGCAGAGGAGGCCAGTGAAGAGAAAGAAAGGTGCTGGGCCACAGAGGCTGAGCTGCTCCAGAACAAAGAGGCAAAGGAGACTGAAGGTGAAGCTGACATGGAGGCAACCCCAGAGGCCAGGCCTAGGGGGTTCTCAGGGGAGAGGAGTGAGGAGGAGTTTCAGTCAGATCAGGAGACATTGGGAGTGGAGTTGGGTGGCTCCAAGCCTGAAGCCACTGAAAGTCAGGAACCTGAGCTGCTGGGAGGCCGCCAGACTCCAACAAAGGAACCTGAGGGAGGACAGGGGTATAAGGAAGGGCTCTGGGGCATTCCAGGCCTGAGCAAAGAGGACCTGGAAAGGGGGCTGGAGGAGTACCCTGACACTCTGTGGCATGTGAAGCCTGATAGCTCCGAGGCAGAGCAAAGAAGGGACACAGAGGGAGGCGATGCCCAGGAGGAAAAAAATGCTGAAGAGGGGGAGGAGGAAGGTGCAGGAGGCCAAGTGCTGGAGGCTGTGTCTACAGGAGGCCGAGAGTGTGCACTGACAGAAATTCCGGAGGAGGAAGATGGGGAGAAGAAGACAGCAAAGGAGACAGAAGAGGGAGCAGAGGAGGGAGAAGCCCCTGGAGGAGAGAACCAAGAGTTGGGTGGGAGGCATGGGGCAGACTCAGGGACAGATCAGTCAGATCTGGGAGAATCTGATGCCAGAGAAACTAAGGGTGAGGAGCTGGAAGCTGTGATGCCCTGGGGAACAGACAGAATGTCAGGGAGAGGCTGGAGCCTGGAGGAGGCCCTAAGCCTCCAGGACACAATAGCCAGTTCTTTGGTTGCTGAGATGGTAGAGGATAAGGATGCTCTGGAGAGAAGGGCAGCCGAAGATGACGTTGAGATTGGAGATGACGTTGAGGTTGGAGATGACGTTGAGGTTGAAGATGACGTTGAGGTTGGAGATGACGTTGAGGTTGAAGATGACGTTGAGGTTGGAGATGACGTTGAGGTTGGAGATGACGTTGAGGTTGAAGATGACGTTGAGGTTGGAGATGACGTTGGGGAAGCCCCGGAAAGAGAGGCTGGGGATGGTCAGGATGGGGCACTTGGGAGTAGCTGGGACTCAGAGGGGAGAGAGGAAGCTGGCAGAGGCGAGGAGGTTGTGGAAACTTCAGAGGGAGAGAATGTTGGTGAGCAGGAGTTTGGCCTGGAGGGCTCAGCAGAGGAGGAGCTGACAGGTAGAAATGGCCAAGCAGAGTCTCTTGAGGACAGAGGAGGCGAGCCTGAGGGAGAGCGGATAGACGCTGGGGAATCTGGCTTGTCAGAAGGAAGCTGTGGGGTGGGTGGCTTTACCTTGGGCTCTCAGGGGACAGGGACCGAGGAGACTGTGACCATATTAGAGGCTGAGGGGCTCCAAGGAGGGCAGTTGCTGTTGGAGAAAGAGGCAGGGGATTGGCAAGTGGGGGATCAGGGACAAGGAAGTGAGGGGCAGTGTGGGGACCACACCCCTGAGAGGGAGGCACGAAGGTCCCTGGAGGTGGAGGATGTTAAGGTGACTGGAGACTGGAAGGCAGAGGTGGAAGAGATTGATCCGGAAGGCCTAGAGGATGTCCAGGGCCAGGAGGGCCAACCAATGGTCCAGATCCTTGCAGAGGTGGAGCCTGAGCTCCGTGGGGAGGCCGAAGGAAGTGCCGAAGGAGATGCTCACGGCAGCTGGTATGAGGTGAGAACTCAGGGTGGGATCCAGGCCTGTGCAGCACAGGAGCTAGAAACCAACCCCTGAGTGCTCTGTGCCTCTCCCCTGCAGGCCCTGCTCCCTGGCTCTCGTCTGGATGTCTCTGTCCCGCGGAGCCGTGTACTCCTGTTCCGCAGCTCTTCACAGCGTCGCTCCCGACCCTCTTTGCGTCGGACCCCTGCCCCTGAGCAGCAAGAGCAAGATTCCAGCCCCCCATCAGAAGAAGGGTTGTCAGCCCCTGAGCAGCAGCTTCCTCAGCCCATGGAGCCCCGAGAGCCAAGTCCCCCCAGGCCAGAACAGACCCCAGTGCCAGCCAGGAGAAGGCCCCTGGGACACGGGTAGGCACAGGGTGAGGTGACTGGGCCAGGGCAGGGAGGAGGTCGCAGGCATCTGGAGTCGAGCCCCACGGTCTGTGTTCCATCTCCAGGTTTGGCCTTGCACACTCCGGCATGATGCAGGAACTACAAGCCAGGCTGGGCCGGCCAAAGCCCCAGTGATGAGAAACCGAGATCCCTGGAGCCAGGCCCCAAGTGAGATCCTGTGTGAACCCTGCTCAGACTGACTCCCAGGCCACTTTCCAGCCTCTGGGCCTTAGTTTCTCTGTGTGTCAATCATGGAGCAGATGGAACCAGACATTTGCAAGAACAATGACCTTCAGGAGCCTGATTTCTCATGCGGCTGACAGACTACCTGGCCCCCAGGACCACCTCTCACAGCCGCCTGGACAACCTCCACAACCTGCCTCAGCTATCTGGAAGACTATAAGGGAATAAGACCCTTCTCTCCATAGCCTTCCCTCTGACTGCCCCCACTACCCCCCTAGGCCTTCAGCTGTGTAGGAGTAACGCAGACCTCAGGGGTTGAAGCCAGTCCAGATAAAAGGGGTCAGGTGGGTATAAGAAGCTCTCTTTGTAATCAGAGGTTGGTAGGAAACACATCAGCACCCTGAAATTTCCAAAATGGGAGCTCAGCCTTAGAAATCTGCTGTTTGCTATGGCAACTACCAGTGGAGCAAGCCAGAGGGAGAAAGGTGGGCCAAGAACCTCCAACATTTAGAAACCGAGAGGGGTTCAGGTTCACCAGAGGCTGCAGACTCCATTCCAGGCCCTCTCGCTCTGTGTAAAGACACCCCCTTCTCTGAAAAGAAGCTGAGACAGAGAAACGATGAGAGTGTTTTATTGGGCACCCAGCATGGCAGCCTAGCCCGAGGACGACCAGCGGGCCCTGGAACAATAAATAAACCATCACTTTCCTCAACAATAAATAAATATCCAAGAAATAAATATCTGGCAAGGACCGGAGGGGTCTTAAGTTATTGGGTAGGGCCTGGGGTGTGAGGTGGGGAAGTCCCGCTTTTTCTGAGCTGGAAGCTGTCCCGCCGTCCCAGACACCAGTCCTGAAGTCCTGAAGGGTGAAGAGAAGGGGCTAAGGTGTGACTCCATCAGGTCTGGGAGCCAGGTGTGGGTACCCCAAGGCTTGGGCTGCGTTTCCAGCCTGGGAGAGCAGCAGCAAGTCCCGCACGGCCCGAGACAAGACAAGTTCCAAGGCGTGCAGCAACTGGTAGGCATAGAGGAGCTTGGGCCAGGTCAGCTGGGCTGCCCTCGGCGAGGGGCCACCTGGGGGCCCTGGGAGCAGTACTCTCCTCTCCTCATGCTCCTCCTCCTCAGGGAGGTTGAGTCCTGCAGCCAGCACCTGTGAGGAGAGGCCCACGGGTGAGAGAACGGCCAGGCTGAGAGCCTGCGCGCATCCTTCCCTTATGTGCCCAGAGGTGCAGAATGACCTCACAGACCACAAGGTTACGATTTCCCTGGGCAACCTCAATGCCAGATGTTCTATGATGTCATCATCTCATGAGTCCTGCTTGACTTTTTGGTTCATGAAAACAGAAGTCACAGAGTGAGATGGTCCTCGTGGTGCTGGGTCACTCCTCTAGGGGTGCCCTGAGAATTAGGGGTTCAGGAAGTTCTCTGCTGTTAAGGATTGTTAAGATCTAAGGATCTTAGAATCATAAATGGGCAGAAAGGTGATAAAGCTGGTTTTATACTGCTTGCATTCTCTTTTTTTCCTTAAGATTTATTTATTAGGCATACAAGAACTGGGGTATAGGCCAGAGATGCGGGGGTGGGAGGATTCACCAGAGACAGAGTGGGGAGCAGAACAGGCAGACTGACTGAAGTACACTGCTGAGGGGAGCAGCAGGCAAGTCAGGAGAGGTCTGTTGCGCCATGTGGGCAGCTCCCTGGCCTGCCAGGGATCAAACTCGTGCTGCAGTGACTGCTGATAGCTTCATAGTGCTGCGCTTAACCACTTGCGCCACCAGGGAGGCCCATCTTGCATTTTCTATTCTCCTTTCATTAAGGGTAAAATTCCAATTTCCCTCTGAAATGTTTAGGAGGGTCTAGTGACATCAGAGGATGAGAGGGAGAAGGAAACCAACTTTGCCACTGGCTGATGTGAGATGCTGGGCTGGGTGTTCTCTTATTTAAGATCAACACCCCAAAAAAGCTGGAGATTCAGGGGATCGGGGCCTGGGTCTAATGTGGCTACATTCTCTGTCTCTTTGCCTCTCCTCTCAAGACTTACCCCACCTATAGGGTGGTTTTAAAAAGGGATCCATTGAATCTCAATTTTGAGTGTTGGTTTCTGGGAAGCGAGGGGGATGGGTAGACACTCTACCTGGAAGCGGAGATGCCTCTGCAAATCTCGGAGATCCAACCCTATGGCCCACAGTTGTGTCCTCTCTGAGCTGGTCCAGTCTCCTTGGCTCCCCAGCCTGCCCAGCAGGGCATGGAAGGGGCGAAGGGTCATGGAGAGGAAGCAGAGCCGTTCTGGGTCCTGCAGGATGTAGGGCATTGGCTAGGAAAGGCCCACAGGCCCAGAATGGCCCACTGCAGACCCACCTTCATCCAAATCCAAGTCCCATCACCAAACGCCAATCCTCATTCCAGCCCCACACGCTTTCCATGCTCATTCCTAGTCCCACCTCCACTGTCTCTGACCTCTGTCCTGTCTCCTTTTCAGTTCTGAACTCATCTCTAGTCCCCGCAGATCCACCCCATCGCTCTTGAGCCTCAGCCCTGCCCTGTTCTTTCTCCGCCATTCCCAGCACCTCACTGGTTCTCATTGGCTCCAGTCTCTTTCCTTCCTTATTTTCATTCTGAATCCCAACTCTATCCCTCCACCGATGTCCTTTCCAACATCTTTCCATCCCATCTCTGGCTTCACCCCCACCGCATGGCACTCATCCTCACCAGCAAGTCCCTTCTTCATTCTCTCCTTTTTTTTTTTTTTTTTTTTTTTATAGAGGCATGCTTTATTTATTTGTTTGCTGGTTTGTTTGTTTTTGTTTATACATGCACTGGGTACAGTCAGAAGCGCGGGAGGGTGAGAGAATTCACCAGAGCCAGAGCGGGGAGCAGAGCAGGCAGAAGGACCGAAGTACACTGCTGAGGGGAGCAGCGGGCGGCAGGAGAAGTCTGCACGCCATGTGGGACCCTCCTCCGGTGGCCGGGGAGCAGCCGGGGATCGAACCGGCGCCGCAGAGGCCGCGGGTAGCTTCGCAACCCAGCGCTCAACCGCTGCGCCACCGGGGAGGCCCTCTCTCCTTGACGGTCACTGTTGTGGCTAACCTTCCCCAGCCCCATTCTATTCCCATTCCGACCTAAATTCCCGGCTTCATTCATTTTTTTTTTTTAAGATTTATTTTTTATTTATTTATACAAGCCCTGGGTACAGTCAGAAGCGCGGGAAGGTGAGAGGATTCACCAGAGCCAGAGCGGGGAACAGAACAGGCAGACTGATGAAATACACTGCTGAGGGGAGCAGCGGGCGAACAGGAGAGGTCGTCACGCCATGTGGGACCCTCGCCGGTGGCCAGGGAATGAACCAGCACTGCAGGGGCTGCGGGCAGCTTCACAGCCCAGCGCTCAACCTCTGTGCCACCAGGGGAAGCCCTCCCAGATTCATTCTTACGTACTTGTCTTTATATCCAAATGACATACTCATCCTCATCCACATTCTAGCCCAAAATTGATCCCCTAATTCTTCTTTAGCTCAATTCCTGACTTCAGGTCCATCCACCCAGCCCCGTGTTATTGCCAGATAACCTACCCCCCCCCCTCCAGACCCCTACTCACAGAGAGGCCCCGCCAGGCGTGGAAGGTCAGGGAAACGTTGGGGAGCTGCTCTCCCAAAGGCAGAAGGTCCAGGTTCACTCCTGGCAGATGAGATTCAGCCTGTGGGGCAAGGCCTTTTAGTGGGGCCAGAGGGGATTGGGGATTGCCCGTGCCCAGAGCTGGTGGCATTAGGGAGACTCACAAAGCTGTGGGCCTGAGCTCGAACCTCGGAGAGCAGCTTCCTGGCGAGATGCAGGCTAACCTTGAACTCCCTCCGTAACTCCTGCAGGCTCAGGGGTGGCCTCCCTGGGGGCCTCGGGAATCCCCAGACACCAGCTCGAGCCAGGAGCAAGGAGAGTAGCAACAGGCTGAACCCTGGAGAGATGAGGAGTGGGTGGGTAAGACATGGGGGGAGCTTGAGAGCTCAAGAGAAGGAAGGGAATGTGTGTCTTCTGCCTGTGCTAAGGGCAAACAGAGCGTATCATCAAAATTCCTAATGAGATGGAAGCTGCTGAGGACACCATATGGCATCTCTGTAGAAATGAGAGGAAAGTGCCCCTTCGCCCGGGAAACACAGCCCTGCAGAGTGCCCACCTTTACAAGCCCGTCTCCGGCTGGGTCTACACCCTTGGCCAAGTGTTTTTTCAGTGAACAGACTGCATGGCTGTGTGTGGCCTCCTGGGTGCTACTGTTCTCTCCACTTGGCAGATGAGGACAGTGGGACTCAGCGAGGGTGACTTGCCTGAGGTGACAGAGGGTGAGGGAGCTAGTGCTGGATCCCAGATCCGTGCAGATGCAGAGCGTGGCTGCTTCTCCCAGGGACTCAGAGGAGGCAGCCACAGCCCCTGGAGTGGGCACATTCTCTTCTGCCAGAGATTCCTTGGGCTCAGCCAGGCAGCTCTGATGGCCTGAACTTGGGCCCCAGAGGTGGGCTGGCAGTGCTGGAGACACTGTGCCAGTGAGTCAGAAGGACACTTCGATGCAGCCACCACCGAGACAGGTAGGTCACTCTGCAGTGTGGGAGGAAACTGAGGTGCCCAGAGGAGCGGGATGGCCAATTGGGAGGCCCTAGAATGTTTCTCCTTCTAACCTCCTTTTGAGCAATTCACCTCTTATCTCTGTGCCTCAGGCCCCCATCTGTAAAGTGGGGAAGTCAGATTGCCCATTTCTGAAAGTGTTTCCTGTCCTTTGTTTCCTAGAAATAGGAAAGAGCAGGAAGGGGGGCACTGGGGTTGGAGCTCTGGGAAGAGGGCAGCGGGAAGGGGTGGGGGGCGGTTTTCTCCCTCGAGGAGAGGAAACCGAGCTGTCACTGGAGTTACACAATTCTCCTCGAAACACAAGTCAAAACTGGCCCAAGTCTGTTCCGTCTCTCGCCTCCTGGCGTCTTCCTTATCTGTTATTGATCTCTACCCATCCACTAGTCCATGAAATGTCCTCTCAGTAAAGACTAAGGAGAGCTTCTGGGTACTCCCTCTTCCCCTGTGGAATTCCAGAGGTGGGGGCAGTGTCTGTGACCTCTAATGTTTAGGGTCCCTGGCTTGGGGGCTCTGGCATCCTGGAGGCATAAGGCAGTGCCCTAGCTCTGTGCTGGGGCAGAGAGGATATCCCCCGCCTCTGGAGGCTGTTGCCCACCTAGAATTGAGCTGTGCCACTTGCTATGGGCCCTCCATTCCTGTCTGAGCTATGGAGCCCCCAGGCCCTTCCCTTCCCAGCCAGTACTGGGTCCTGCGCCCTGGCCATTGAAGCTCTGTGCCCATACTCCGGCCCTGGCCCCTACTCTGGTCTTACTGGCTGCTCTCTGCCTAAAGATCTGGTTCCAGCCTCTGAGTCTTCAATCACCAACTGCAGGTTATACCTCCTTCCAGGCTTCAAACCATAAGCTCTTGATCTAGTTAGGTTGCTGATTCCTTGGCATCGGCCCCCCAGTGCCTCCTGTTGCTCCTTCTATAGCCAGCCCCCAGTTTTCAGCCAAGCTGTCTGGCCCCTGCTCATTCTCTTCAGGCAAACTCTTCATTTATCTGCAGGTCCTGGTCCAGCTCAAAGTGCCTGGGCAACCTTTCCTATCCAGGCCAGTCAAGGCTGCCTGTCCTCTGCCCAGCCCCTGGCAAACCACCATCCTACCCTAGCCCCTCTCCCCCATTCATGCCCACCTATTCCCATTCTCCATCATGCTTTTTCCTGGATCTTAGTCTTGGCCAAGTGGTCGCCCCTCTGCCCTTGGCTCCCATCCTCTGACCAGTCTCGGCCCAGCCTCCCACCCCTCTGCCCCCAGCCCTGCCCTCAAACTCACGCCAGCCAAGGTCGCCTGCCATCTGGCCCATGGAGGGGCCCAGCCTCTTTGGCCAGCCATCTCCCAAGTAGGGGGAGTCTTATACTGGGGGCTGCGCCCGGTTTCACTTTCTGTCTGCTTGTACTTTCAGCTTTGCATTCACTCAGTCTTTTTTTCCTGACCACCCCTTGCTAAAATGGGGAAATGTAATTTCCCTTCCCAGAGTGGGTGGGAGGTATGGCGGAGGGGGGTGGCGGGAAGCTGGGGTTTCGGTTAATCCAATCTGCTGACCCCCTGCTGAGCTCCCAGCTCCAGCCCGCCCCTCACTTCCCACTCTTGATCTGCTAGTGGACTCGACCCCCTCCTGTTTCTCTGCTCTGTCATTATCCTCCCAGGACTGTCATCAGTCCACTGTCCTTCAGAAGGTAGATGGTCAGGTAAGGGGATTGCCCACCAGAGGGGACTTGGGGTTTGAGTCATCCTTATTCTCTGGTTTACCACATGGCTGAGGGGCGCAGTGCAAGGGAAGTCAGGGCTCAGGGGTGACTGGGATGGGGCTTTGTGTGGGGTGATGAGGTCTCATCCTGGGCAGTCAGGGCTCAGTCTATAGCCAGGTCAGGACGGATGCAATCAGGTCGGTCCAGAGCCACGGGCTCAGTTTTGGCCAGATAATCCAGATGTAGAATTAAAGCTCAGTCTGTAAGCAGAACCAGGACGAGGGCCAGGGCTGAGCTAATCTGGGGCAAACGTCCCTCTCTGTTAGTGTTTGGGTCAGAGCTGTCAGTGAGCTGGGAGCTCCGCTTGGGACCGGCCAGGCTCAGGCTCAGAGCTCAGTCCTCATCAGGCACGGGCAGGTTCTGGTCGAGTCTGTGACTCAAGTCAGGCCTCAGACTTGGGCTGGGTAAAGCTCAGCGCTTGAACAGGGTGAGGGCTCGCCCGGTGGCCTGGCTGGGATTAGGTGAGATCAGGATCCGCACTCAGCCAGGTCCCAGAATAACTTTGGTTTCTTCTGTGTAGATGGCTGTCAGGGCTGAGCTGCACCAGCCACAGACCTACCCTCCAGCACCGCCGACCCTTCAGCCCCACCCTGGATTTCCCATCTTCAGGGAGAAGATGGGGTTTCTTGGTCTTCCCCGAGGCCCATTGCTGCCACTTTCCTTTTGGGACCTGTGGGGTTTCCCTGTTAGGTCCCTGCTGTGAGACAGAAACCAAGGGGGCTTCCCCTTCCTTTACCCCTTCCTCAGGCCGCCTGGGCACTGCCCATCAGCGTTGCCTGGACCAACTGCCAGGGAAGTACCATCACGTGCTGGAGAGCAGCCAGCTACCCTGGCGAGCTGCAGGAGCAGGAAAAGGATGAGCTCTGAGGTCTGCCTCGCTCAAAACGGGATCCCTCGCAGTGCGCTCCACCCGTGGCAGCGCATTCCTTCCCATCCCATGCAAGCGGGGCTCCCCAGTGGGGGATCCCAGACATTCTGAGACTGATAATGAGGACAGAGATTTTCCTCGAATCCCACTGCTGTCATCCTGGAGGCTTGGCCGCACCCCCCCTCACCCCTGACCATAACCACTCCTGACTCTGCCGTCACCTAGACCTGCTGCAGCTCCCAACACTGAATCCCCTCTGCCCTCATCCTTCTGGCCCTCCCAACCTCCTCTTAGACTTTGCGGAGACCTCCTGTCCCTTGCTGCCTCTCGGCCCTCCTCAACCTGGCTGCAGCTGACTCCTCCAGCCTTGCCCCTTGCTCCAGTGCTATTCCTGCTCCAGCTGCTGGAGCCTCATGCTTGAAGGTGATGAGCCATCTCAGGCTTCCTCACCTTTGCACATGCTGTTCTCTCTGCTTTCGCTGGAGTTCCCATCCTCAACCTTCCCTGTACCTGGTCATAGGTTTTCTTCCCTGACTGCCTCATCCCTTCCTGCCATGAATCTTCTCTCCAATGGACATTTCTCCTGTGTTTATCTTGCTCACGCTATCTTCACTGATAACTCTCCCGCCATACTGCCCCGTTACTCCTAGAACCTGCCAGGTATGCTCCTACCTCAGGACCTTTGCACGGGCTGTTCCTTCACCTGGAACACTCTTCTTCCTGATAGCTGCAAAGCTCACTCTCTCCTTAAGCTCTCTGCTCAAATAGCATCTTCGCAAATGGAGTCTTTCCTGTCCACCCTACCACAAATCACAACACTGCCCTTGAACTCCGTCTACTTTCCTGCGTTATTTTTCTGAATAGCGTTTTAGATAAATAACATTTCCCTATTTATTTTGTCTGTCCCCATGCACTAGACTCCCACAAGGGTGGAATTTTTGCCTTCTTGTTTCAGTGATGTAGCTAAAGATAGTAGGTTCCTAGTGAATCATTGAACAAACCCGTCTTCTGCCACAAGTGCCCAGTCTAGGTGCTCCTCATGGCCAGTGAGCTGGAATTTGCCTGTGTAGAGCAGCAAGCCTGGGTCCAGCCTAACCCTGAAGTCTCACAGTCAGCCTTCTCCACTCCAGCTGAGCCCCACCCAGGTGCAGAGGAATATAAAGGGGTACCTGGGCTGCTGGGCATGACCCGGGGTTGATGAGCTTAGCAGATTCTTGACAAGATGCCAGATGGTCAGTGAGGGCAGCACCAGCCTCTGTGTCCTTGGAGGATGGGCTTGGACCAGTCTCTGCTTGCCCGGTCCTGTTTCCGCAAGTGGATCTTGGTTGGTGGGCTGAGGTTGGGCCTGGGGCCACAGGAAATGGAAGGGATGTGGTAAGGGGTGAGAAGTGCTGGAAAGGAAGCCAGGAACCCTGGCTTCTGTGCTCCGGTGTGTAGTTAGTCCTTCTGGTGACCTCAGGTGAGTCACAAACCTGCCCTGGACCTCAGTTTCCTCATTGAAAAACCCAGCAGTATATACTGCCGCTATATTACGTAGGGAAATTAAAACCTAGATGATTAAAAAAAAGAGGAAAAGAGCCATCCATCAATTTTCGATTATTTTCCACAGCCCATTACGTCTCTAACCATGGGGCACTCCATGAGCTTGCATGGGAATCCTGAGATCAGGAAGCAGAAGTTAGAAACTTCAGATGTGACATCAGGATGGAATCAGGGAGGGGAAGTCTCATTCAAGGTCACACAGTCGATGAGTGACAGAATGAAGACTGGAACTTGAGTCCACCATTTTCAGCTCGGCTGGGGAGGGAAATCCCTGAGCTCCGTGATGTCAGCTCCAGGACTTGAAACTTTTAGTGAAACCAAGATGGGTTTTGGTGAAGGCAGGAAAGGAGGCCACACTCTGAGTCCCCTGCACGCAGGCAGTGAGACCCTGAGGCTTGGCACACTCCATCCCCTCCCAGGAGAGCGGAGGTGAATGAAGCCCAGAGTTCTGGCCCTGATGGCCAATCTGATCTTGTGTTGTACACATGTACCTCACCCCCCCCAGATTAGGGTCCACCACGATTAATTCTGCAGTATGTGCCCATGGCAACACCCCAGCGACTTGGGTGTCTAACCCCCTCCATTTGCCTTGGGGGCTGCCCCTAAATGTGGTGTCTCTGGGATGCCCACACTGGGAGGGAGAACCTGGCAAAAGAAAGGGTTTTCTCTCCGTTGGTCCTTTTTCCCTTTAAGGGGGACATTTTCACAGCCATGGCAGGCACCTGGGGAGACCCCAGGGGAAAGGGGTGGGGCAGTTTCTGATGGATGAGATGCTGATGACTGGATGATCTAAGTAAATGACCCACGAATGCAGGGGCAGCGAGGTTGAGCTCTGCAGGGTGGGAGTAGAGGTTGGGAGGCTGGGTTTGTCAGTCTGCCGAGTACCAGGAAGGAAGAGTTGGCAGCCAGGAGGTAGGGCTGCAGAGGAAAAACACCAGCCTGGGCATGAAAAGTCCCGGTTCAAGTCCCGGCTCTGCACTGCCCTTTTTCCCCATGTACCCTCTTAAGCAAGATGCCCAAACATTGTGCTTCGGTTTCCCCATGGCCCATCTATCAGCCTAGACATGAAGGTAAATTTAGGAGGATACAGGGTGTCTGGGTCAGGACCCCACTGGGGCATCAGACAGACCTACACTCCTCTCACAGCTCCTACACGTCCCCCTGTGACCTCGGACAGGGCACAGAACCCCTCTCGCTTGACTCAGCTACCAGGTGGGGACACTACTCACAGCAGCCCCGTGAGACTGCAGGGATGATGACACTGCGGCCACTGAAGAGCTGTGTGATCTTAGGCAACTCACTTAACATCTCTGTGTTTTGGTTTCATTATCTATAACATGAGAAAACTGATACAAGCTCACAGGACTATTAGAGGCCCCAATGGGCTATTGTTTATAAAGTGCTTAGAACAGGACCTGGCTTGTGGTGAGTCTTTTAGATATAAATAGTAGACAAGGCCTGACCCACAAGAAAACACTCAGGAAATGTGAGTTGTCATTTATAAAGGCAGGCGTGGTCATCTACAGGCGGAGAGAGCCCGAAGGGGAGCTGGAGGAAAAGGGTAAGGGGTAGAACAGACTGCAGTTAGAGCTTAGGGCAGAGGGCATTTCAACCACACTCCTCTCTCCTCTGCCCCCACTCCTCAGGCTTTAATGAGGTACAACTGACAGAATGGTAAGATATTTAAAGTGCCCCGTGTGATGATCTGATATGTGCACGCTGTGAAAGGATTCGAGTTAATTAGCACATCCATGGCCTCACATACTTGCCTTTCAGTTTTTGTTTTTGGTGGAAATGTTTAATTTCTCAGGAAATTTCATTAGTACGGTCAGTGTTATCAACTGTTGTCCCATGCTGTACGTTGGCTTGAGAGTTTCCACACCCTAAATCAATGGCTGTGCAGCCCCTAGTGAGCGAACAAAGTAGTGACGAGGGAGCAGAAAACAGAGCAGACCCAGCAGTGAAGGTTGGCCTGAGGCCCAATGATGCCAGATTCTCTCGGGGAGAGCCCACCCCTTCCGCATTCACTGCCCTGCCTGCCACCCCACAGTCCGCAGCCGGGCCTCTGCGTGTCCCCGGTGCTGAGGCTCTTGTCTGGTTGCCTGGAAGTCAGAAGATGCAGAGAAGAGACATGAT